TGGCCTGAACGTGAAGGTGAAGGCAGGCGGCAGTCACTGCCTCTGGAACCATGAGGACCCACGACCCCAGGGGCTCCGTGTTGCTCATGGGGAACTGCCGAGTCAGGCCTGTCAGGCTGAGGCCACATCTTCTACATGGGTAAGATTTCTCCCATCTCCCGTGAACAGCTCCCAGGTGGACACAGAGCAGAGGGGACTCAGACCAGCAGGTCCAGCAGAGGCTGAGCAAGGAACCCCATGGGCCCCCACCCCGAGGGAGAGCTGGGAAGCAGCCAATGTCCAGCTTCCTCAGGTCATACAGCCTCCCAGGCCTGGTTCTGAGGGACCCTTCAGGAGGATCCCTGAGCAGCAGAGGGGCACGGGGCCTCCCCAGGTGCCAGGGACACAGAAGCCTGCAGCCCTGCGGCTCTCTGACCTCTTTACAACAGGAGAGGACTTCAGTGATGACCTGTGAGCAGAGGCCAGCTTGTCACTGATGCAGATGAGGGTGGTGCAGGAGTGCCTCTGCAGTTCCCCCTGGTGTTAATGTGTGAAAAACCCCGAAAGCTGACAATAAACACAGGACAGTGATGACTAAATGCTCATTGCATTTAATCACACACTGCTTACAAATATAACAGCAGGGGCGCTACACATGAGAGGCATCGTAGTGATGAGCTGGAGGCAGCTGCCAGAGGACACTTGCACCTCGCACTTGCCCTTGGGAGCCGCTCTCCCTCCAAGTGTGAGACTTCTGGCTCGCTGTAGGACAGCCCTCCCTCAATCTAGCAGGTTTCTAGCAGTAAATCAACTAGCTGTTTAGAAATGAGAAAGCAGAGGCCATTAGGCAGGGTGTATTCTGGACTGCTGGCGTGAGGCTGGCAGGGGAGCCCAGTGCGCCGCTGTGTATCACCTGCACCCTGCTGGGCAACAGCAAGTCCTTCCTGGGCCACAACAGCTCTCAGAGTAGATGGCTGTTTGGCATCAAGCATATACACATGGAACTCACCAGTGACACTGTGCTGCTGCCCTAAGAGGCCTCATGCATGCCCGCCCCCCAGATTCTGGAGAAGAATGCAGAAAATCTAGCCCTTACGGAGCCCCTGCTATTCTGACTAGCTCAATGTGATTATGTGACAGAGAAGGAGATTTGAAGCGAGCCGGGCAGCAGACATTGTCACAGTGGTGGCGGGTGCTTCTGTTAGACTCAGGGAGAGTCCAACCCCGTGGAGGGGAGTCACACCGTCATTGGCAAAACAAGTCAAATGCAGAGGCTGCAATAAGCATGAGGATTTTATTGAACATTCGCGAATGGGCAACAGAGTCTCTGGAGGCATCCAGGACTCTGTGCGCCCCAAGCAGGTTAAAGCACCTTTTTAAAGGACAAAACCGCAAACTTCGCATAACAGCTGGCATTTTACTTTAAGATTAGAATCTCTTTTATTCCTGCAGCTGCCTGCTCCGGCCTTGCTACCTTATCTCTTTTATTCCTGCAGCTGCCTTGTTCATGTCTGGGAAACTGAAACTTTTACTTCCTTCATGAAATAGCTTTTCTATATTTATTCCAACATGGCTCTACTCTTGCTCAGCAGAAAGCAATATACAGAAGCAAAATCAAGCGGTTATTCTAAGCTCTTACATTCCCCCCTTTTCTTTTAGGACATATTTTTATCTTAAAATATAAGCATTAGCAGGCATTTTCTTGTACAGGCTGATATTGGCTGGTTAATACAAAGGCTTGAATTATTGACAATCTTTTCTTTTATGAACTGTAATAAACAATTAATAATGCAAGGTCCTATAGTTAAAAGGAGTAATAACAATATTAAAGGTCCTGTTATAGCAGAGATGAGAGTGGTTAGCCAGGGTGATTGAGAGAACATGTTTTCAAACTATCCTTTTTGGGCTGACAATTCTTTCTGTCTTTTATTTAATCTGTCTCTGAGTCGATCTAAAGTCTCAGTCACACTTCCAGTTTGGTCAGCATAGAAACAACACTCTTCCTTTAAGGCGGCACACAATCCTCCTTCTTTTAATAATAGCAAATCTAGTCCTCTCCTGTTTTGCAACACTACTTCTGACAGAGAGGTAAGAGACTCTTTTAGTCTTCTGACTGACTGTTCTAAGGCCTGTAGGTCTTCATTCATAGCCTGGTGTAGTCCTTGGTAATAGTCTGTTCTCGACAGAGCAGTTGCTCCGGTGGTTATGCCAGCGGCTATTCCTCCTGTACCTAGTAACACGGCTAGAGTAATAGAGACAGGCTCTCGCTTGGCCCTCCCTGGATGTTCATAGGCAGCTAGAACAGTCTCAGACGGAAGGTACGTTATTCTTGGCCACAATTGAACAAGCACACAGAAGTCTTTGGTGACGTTAAGAACCTTTAGAGGATTTGGGGTTCGTTGAAGTTTCCATTCTGGTTCCTGGTCAGTCCCTGTAGTCCCTGTTGCTGGCTGATCCTTGGCGTGTTTCACGTGGGAGGCATGTACCCAGGCGGCAATTCCGTCGACTTTCAGGGCGGTTGGAGTAGTCAGTAGGACAGTAAAGGGTCCTTTCCACCGTGGTTCTAAGGTTTTTGCCTGGTGTCTCCGGACATACACCTGGTCTCCTTCCTTGAACGGGTGAGGGCACGGTGGAATGTCTTTGTCCTTGTAGGCCTCTGCAAGCGGTTTCCAGATGTACTCTCTCACTGCTCTGAGAGCCTGGAGATGCGCCTGTAACGAGGGTGGATGGGGGAACATGGTAGGATCAAAATCACAGAAAGAGGATGCCGGTGGTGGGCTCCCATATAATATTTCAAAGGGAGTCAGCCCATGATATGCAGGAGTGTTGCGCACTCGAAAAAGGGCCATAGGGAGGAGTCGTACCCAGTCTTTTCCGCCAGTCTCTAGGGCTAATTTAGTCAAGGTCTCTTTTAGAGTTCTATTCATTCTTTCTACCTGGCCTGAACTCTGGGGTCGATAAGCACAATGTAGTTTCCAATGAATCCCCAAACTCTTGGCCACCCCCTGACTTACCTGGGAGGCGAAAGCGGGACCGTTATCTGACCCTAATACTTGCGGCAATCCGTACCGGGGAAAAATTTCTTCAAGGAGTTTTTTTAACGACTGTCGTGGCCGTTTCATTCTTCGTGGGGTAGGCTTCTACCCAGCCTGAAAAGGTGTCTACAAAAACTAAGAGATATTTATAACCATACAGTCCCGGTTTTACTTCAGTAAAGTCTATTTCCCATTGTATTCCCGGTCGGTGTCCTCGGGCACGGGCTCCTTGGGGGAGTTTTAGTCGCCCTGCGTTTACCTGGGCACAAGGCTTGCATTGGTCCACTGTAATTTGAGTAAGAAACTGCAGGTCAGGAGTTATAAACGGGCATTTCTCATTTGCAAGTAGAGCGTGCATTTTTCTCCGGCTCAAATGAGTGAGGCGGTGGAGGTGTTCAATGATTTCAGTAGCTATGCGATAGGGCAGGATGACCTTGTCTCCTTTTTCTCCATGCTTTGCACTTAGCATCCCACTCCCCTTCGAGTTTTTTAATGAGAGCTCTGTCATTATCAGTATATTTAAATGGAACTCCCCAGTTGCAGACTATGTCATCTGTGTTTTGCCTGGTCTCTTCGGGTCCCATTTTTGAGTTTATTTCCAGGGGTAGGGCTGAGATTGGCTCAGTGGCAACAGTTTTTGCAGTCTGGTCTGCCAGTCTATTTCCTCTAGCTACTGGATCTGTTCCTTTTTGGTGGCCCGGACAATGAATAATGCTCAGTCTTTTTGGAAGGAATAGTGCCCTTAAGAGGTTTATTATCTCTTGCTTGTTCTTTATTTCTCGTCCTCCTGAAGTTAAGAGGCCCCTTCTGCGATAAATCTCACCGTGCACATGGGCCGTAGCAAAAGCATACCTACTGTCAGTATAGATGTTTGCTACTTTTCCCGCCGCCAGTTCTAGAGCCTTTGTGAGGGCTATTAGTTCAGCTCGCTGGGCCGACGTCCCTGGCTCTAGGGCACTGGCCCAGACTATGGAGTCATTGTTACTCACCACTGCTGCTCCTGCCCGCCGAGTCCTTCGGTGACATAGCTGCTGCCATCTGTGAACCAGGTTACCTCCGCATCTGGTAGAGGCTGGTCAGTTAGATCTTCACGAGTCCCATGAACTTCGGCCAGAATCTGGGAGCAGTCATGGGGGGCATCCTTGGCCGTTCCCGGCTCCGGCAATAGGGAAGCGGGATTGAGCGTAGCAACTGGTCCAAAAGTAATGCGTTCAGGAGCTAAGAGCAAAGCCTGGTAGTGAGTCATGCGGGCGTTTGAAAGCCACCTGTCTGGCGGTTGGCGGACAACCGACTCCACAGCATGTGGAGCTATTATTGTGACTTTCTGTCCCAGGGTTAGTTTGTTTGCGTCCCTGAGCAGGGTCGCAATAGCTGCTACCATGCGCAGGCAAGGGGGCCACCCTGAGGCCACTGGATCTAGTTTCTTTGAAAGGTAGGCAACCGGTCGTCTCCAAGGGCCTAGGGACTGAGTCAATACTCCTTTTGTAATTCCTTTGGCCTTATCCACATACAGTGTGAATGGTTTTGTGACATCAGGCAGTCCCAGGGCCGGTGCCGTTAGGAGGGCCTCTTTAATGCAATCAAAAGCCCGTTGTTGTTCTTTTCCCCAGATGAAGGAGTTTTTTTTTCCTTCGTTAACATGTACAAGGGAGCGGCCAGCTCCGCAAACCCAGGTATCCACAGCCGGCAGAATCCTGTCGTTCCCAGAAACTCACGTACCTGTCGGGAGTTCCTTGGGACTGGTATAGACGCCACCGCAGCTTTCCTGGCTTCAGTTAACCATCTTTTTCCTCCCTTTATGACATATCCTAGGTAGGTTACCTCCTCTCTGCATATCTGGGCTTTCTTGGCAGATGCCCGATATCCTAGGGCTCTCAATTCACGTAACAGGGCCCTTGTCCCTTCTAGGCAGGCCTCTCTGGTAGGTGCTGCCAGCAAGAGATCATCTACATATTGGAGGAGAGTCAGATTGGGGTTATTTAATCTGAATGCCACCAAGTCTTGATGTAGGGCCTCATCAAAGATGGTGGGGGAATTTTTGAAGCCTTGTGGCAATCGAGTCCAAGTCAGTTGCCTACTTACTCCATGTTCCGGATCTCTCCATTCAAAAGCAAATAAAGGTTGGCTCGCCGGGCTCAGTCTGTAGCTAAGTCGACCCGCCGATCAGTCGTCCACCGGTACGCGCGTCCTCCTGTGGCTCCCTGTACCCACGAGGTCTTCTGGCTCATAGGTCCATCAGTAGTTGTCAAAACTGAATGTTGAGCCCCGGTGTCTACTAGAAACGTGGTGGGCTTGCCTCCCACAGACAGAGTTAGCCTGGGCTCAGGGGGAGGCTCCTGGCCCCGACTGGCCTAGTCTTCTAAAGTCAAAACTGAGGTCTGCCTTTTCTTGTTTCTAGGATTGTTGGGACAATCCTTTGCCCAATGGCCGTTTTCTTTACAGTAAGCACATTGATCTTTCCCTAAACGGTTTCGCCGCTCACCTCCCTGTTCCTTAAACTGTCTCCCTATCTCAGTTCCCTGGGATGTTATTTGCTTGTTATGAACTACAGTGGCCAAGATACGGCTCAGTTCTTTATTCCGTCGCTTATCTCTCTTATCCTCTCTTTCTTCCTGCATCTTTCTTAGTCTCTCTTCTCTCTCTCCGGAGTCTCTCTCTTATTGAAAATTTTATCTGCCTCTTTTACTAAGTCCTGCAAGCTATAATTCTGCAATCCTTCTAGTCTTTGTAACTTATTTCGAATGTCTGGTGCCGACTGTCCTATGAAAGCCATAATCACTTCCCCCTGCCTATCTTCACTTGCCGGATCAAACGGTGTATACATGCGGTATGCTTCCATTAGTCTTTCTAAGAATCCCGCGGGAGTCTCCCCAGCTCCCTGTAGAACTGCTCTTACCTTAGCCAAATTAGTGGGTCGCCTTCCGGCACCCTTGAGACCTGCCAACAGAGTCTGGCGATAAAGACGGAGACGCTCCCTACCATTTGGAGTGTTGAAGTCCCAATTAGGTCGGACAAGGGGAACACTTCATCAATTTCGTTTGGAAGTTGGGTGGGCTGCCCATCAGCCCGAAGGACATTCTTTCTGGCCTCCATCAGCACCCGTTGGACTTCTTCTGTGGTCAGTAGAGTCCGTAACAGCTGCTGACAATCATCCCAAGTCGGCTGGTGCGTCAACAAGATGGACTCGATGAGACCTGTTAATGCTTGGGGGTCTTGGGAGAAAGGAGGGTTATGAGTTTTCCAATTATACAAATCAGAGGCAGAGAAAGGCCAATACTGGACCTGCCCCCCTACAATTCTCAAGGGGTACAATTGTGAAGACCATTGCCCTTCTCCTCTTTCTCCCTCCTTTAATTGAGCCCTGCGTAGCCGCAACCTGGTATGGATTGGGGATCTGGCTTCAGGCTGTTCATTTACAGTGGTGTCTGGAGAGCCCATCTCCCCCGGTCTTCCTCTTGGGGGTTCTCCTTCAGGTTGATGCTCCTGGGGATAAGGTGGAGGAAGTTCAGAGGTCATTAATAGGTCCATCTGACTATCATCAGGCAGGACAGGCTTAGGTCGAGGACGAGTAGCTTCCAGCGGACAGAGGGAAACAAGAGCAGAGGGTTGGGGTTGGGGCGGAGCTGAAGGCGCCGGCAATTCTGGAGAAGGAGGAGGAGGAGGACAGGGTGCGATGAGAAAAGGTTGAGCCCACGGCGGGGGATTAACCACGAGGTCCTCCCATACTAAGATATACGGTAACTGGTCGGGATGCCCCGATGGTTTTGTCTCTACAGCCCTAAACTCCAGCCACTCTTCACACTGCAGGACAGGTTTATAGCAAAGCAATGCAGACTAAGCTTGGTCTAAACACACAGGAACCAGCAGCCAGGACCCAAGGGCTGCAGGCAAGACACTTTCGGCATCACCAGTTGTAGACCCTCTCAGAACAAACTAAATCTTTTACTGGGTGGCCCCCAGGAAACTTACAAGAGGTCATTAATACTATAAATACTATGAACAAGAGTTTTTACACAGCACATTAAATATCATCTGGCTTGTTACAAAAGTTATCTGTAGACTCTAGGCGTGCTGGGAGCAGGAGCCCCCGGAGCCTGCCTGTGGGGATTTGCATGGGGCTGGCTGGGAGGGCAGAGGCGAGGAGGGCACAGGGAGGCCTGGGGTTCCCGGCCTGTCTACTCCCACAGCCAGTCCCTCAGAGAGAATGAAACAGGAGGAGGATCCTATCAAAGTCTTCTTGGGTCAATCTGCTGACCTCTGGGCAGCCGCAGCTGGTACCTGTGCCGGGCAAAGGGAAAACCAGGGACGGATCCATGGGGGGATTCTGAGACAGATTTCAAACCAGGATAAGGCTGCTGATCAGGGTGGCCTTTTGGTCCTGTTGGAAAAACAATCCTTTAAACTGTTTGGATGATAAGAGCCTCCTTTCGGCCAGCCCAGGTTGAAAACGGGGCCCTTCTGCAGAGCAGAAAGTCTGTCAAGATTTTTTCTTAACCGGGAGGGAGAGGTCGTGAGTCCTGTCCTTATCTTCAGTCCAATGGTCAAGAGTCAAACTAAGGGGAATCGTCACAGTCTGTTCCATAATTAAAGACAAAAGACCACACACAATAATTACAAAACAAATGACACAAACAGGATTCGCGCGATGCAAGATTTCCTAAGGGCCCGATACAAAATACAAGAAGGTCGACCGTACAAAGCCAGACGAGGGTGAAGTGATCTTCACCCCGTCTCCCAGGCACCGGAGCGTCCCCCGGCGTACAAGGCCAGACGAGGGTGAAGATCTTCACCCCGTCTGCAAGGCACCGGAGCGTCCCCCGGCGTACAAGATCAAACCGGTACCGTTCAAAGACTGGGGGGGGGGACAAGGACAGTACAGAACAACACAAAAACAAAAAACACACTTTCCGATCGGTCTTACCTCCCTCTGCGAGAGTTGTTTGCTGAAGACGGTCGCTCCATTCCCGGCCAATGCACCAAAATGTTAGACTCAGGGAGAGTCCAACCCCGTGGAGGGGAGTCACACCGTCATTGGCAAAACAAGTCAAACGCAGAGGCTGCAATAAGCATGAGGATTTTATTGAACATTCGCGAATGGGCAACAGAGTCTCTGGAGGCATCCAGGACTCTGTGCGCCCCAAGCAGGTTAAAGCACCTTTTTAAAGGACAAAACCGCAAACTTCGCATAACAGCTGGCATTTTACTTTAAGATTAGAATCTCTTTTATTCCTGCAGCTGCCTGCTCCGGCCTTGCTACCTTATCTCTTTTATTCCTGCAGCTGCCTTGTTCATGTCTGGGAAACTGAAACTTTTACTTCCTTCATGAAATAGCTTTTCTATATTTATTCCAACATGGCTCTACTCTTGCTCAGCAGAAAGCAATATACAGAAGCAAAATCAAGCGGTTATTCTAAGCTCTTACACTTCGAATACTGGATGGTGTCCAGGGCAGCCCCGATGTCGTAGTTCTTGGTCTGCAGGAGCCTGGTGAGCCAACCACCTTCATCAGAGAAGCCCATGGACAGCATCTGAGACAAGGACTCGGTCAGCCGGGGCTCAACCTCTGCCAAAAACAGTAACAGGAGACATGAGCGTGAGCAGGCCCATGGGTGGGGATGACTCAAGACCCAGCAGCACCTTGGCGTTTACCCAGCAAGTACCCAGTGCCAACAGTTCCAGACACCCCTAACCTGCAGGGGTCCTCAGAAAGCTGCCCCTGAAGATGCAGAGAGCATCCCAGGCTGACCTGGCAGACCCTACAGGCTCACTGCTCCTTAAGTGCCAGGAACAAGGAAGCAAATGAGCACAGTCATGTTCCAATAAACTTTATGGACATGGTTTCCTCTGCTCCAGTCTCCTGACAGCATCCTGCAGGACCCTGACCAGGGCTGAGCCTGTACACCCATGCCACTTGTTTATCTTTCATTCAGAGGAGCAGTGGACATCTGCCTTCCTGGCCGTCAAGCCTGTCAGCCATGCTCAGCCCCCTCCTGGCTCTTTCTGACCTGTCCTGAGTTCTGCCCAGTCCTGACAGCCTCCCCACATGCATGTCCCTGTCCTGGGATGCTCCCACACAGCAGGGACAGCCACGGTGCCTCCAGAGAGCTGGGCTGGGTAGCTGTGTGTCCACCCTGAGGTCCGGACAGCTTGCCTGCCATGCATTTCCTACCCAAGACAGTGTGGCCTTGCTCAGGAACCACAGCAGGGGACAGGGCGTCCTGACCAGGCTAGATCCCAACGTGTGGCCTTAAACAAGCCAGGTTACCTGGGCCGCTGCACACACGGCCACAGCGGACCCCTCCTGGCTCTCCTGAGACTCCATCCTTTGGTCTCATTCTTCGTGGCCAGGACAAGCACACCATCCCTCCAATTGGATACATAAAGGGGCTCCCTGCCCATGGAGTCCCAAAAGATAGCCCGGCACCTTCCATGTGCAGAGCCTAATGCGAGGGAGGGCCTGAGGCCTGAGGGGAGCTCCCTGACTTGCCAGGGTACCTGCTGGGGCACGCTCTATCCTCCTGGAGGGTCTGCCATAACTATGAGTGGTCTCCATGTCTGACCCCTTCCCCACACAGATGTCTGGACAATGTGGTCAATGAGCAGAGTACTTCCCCACCAGTGCCACACCTCCATGCCTTGCTGACCAGTGGAGACGAGCCTCCCACACAGACAGACATCTTTGACCTCCTCAAAGCCTCCTATGAGGTCAGCACTCAGTGGGGAGGTGTGGGGGGTGACAGCCCTGTACCCCGTGGCTGTGCATTGTCACACCTAATCATCCCCACCTGCCTGCAGAAATTCAGCAGCCTGCGGGCCAGCGACACTGAGCAGATGCGGTTTAAACAGGCTGAAAGTGATGCAGTCGTTGGAGGACACAGCCAAGAGGAGCGTGGTATGTGGGCGTGGGGGGCTCCCACTCAGGCCTGTCAGTGGGGCAGGACGCACACTCCCCTGCTGCCTCACCACCAGTGTCAGCATTAGGATGTGTGGGACCAGGCAGGGGCATGGCGGGGAGAGGACATGGTCGTTTTATTCTGCTCCCAGATGGGCCAGTGGGAAGCCTGTCTGAAGCCCCGTTCGCCCAAAGCATAGCACCCTCTGTCTCCCACATGTCCCCTCCCCTCGCCCCGAGCATCCCACAGCTGCCCTCTGAGCACCTGCGTGCCGTGCCTCTGCCTCCAGCCTTCATCCTCCACATCCCTGGATGGGTGCAGGTGCCCCTGCCACAGGATCTACTCGTGGTCTCTTGACTGCCAACCTCGTTCCCACTTCCCCAGTGCCCCCCACAAACCTTTCAGACACTCTGAGGTCACAAGTGACAGAAACGGATGGCTCCAGCTGACTGAGAGCAGCTGGCTGGTGGTTTCAGGACCCCTTCCCAAGAGCTGGCACCTGGGTCACAGCAGAGGTCCAGACAGGAGGAACTAAACAATGTCCCATGTCCCCCACTCTCAGCCCACTAGGGCACAGACCTCAGGGAGCTTGCACTGAGTGGCAGGCTGGGTGGTGAGAGGCCAGCAGGGCAAGGCCCTGCCCTCAGTGGGATGGCCGACTTGCCACACTGAGGGGCAGCTCGTGCCTTTGCCCTGGTCCCTGTGACAATCTGTCTCCTGCTGCAACAGGCACTTGAGAGTCCCTCAGCCCAGCCTGTCTCTTTCTTCTAGGTCTGAGCCATACCTGGGGACACTGGCTTCTCCACTGAAGAGCTGGAAGACCTTTACATGGTGTTTAAGGTAAGAGCCGAGAACAGGGACAGGACCTGTAACTGTGACCTTGTCTTCCTAGAGCATCCTCAGCACAGAGGTTCCTGCCGGAAGAGAAGGGGTTTGGAAGCATCCGTGCATGCACTTGCTGTGAAGTCTAAGTGGTAGAAGTTAAGCCTTGTTGGAGTTTAGGCAGAACACTCCCTTAGAAAGCACAAGGCAGCTTACAGCAGAAGTTCATGGGCTCAAGGAACTGCAGAGTTGAGGGAGACAGTGTCAGGCCTGGCTGGATCCAGGGACTCAGATGCAGTGTTGTACACTCTCTCACCATCTGATGTTCTCTGAACTGCGCTTCCTGCAGAGTCCATGGCTGTCTGCAGCTCCAGGGACGTGCTATCCCCTCAGTAGCCCCAGGACAAGGGAAACTTTCTTCCAAATGATCAGACTAACTCAAGTTAGGCACTGGATTCAAGTTAGGTTGGCGTTGACTGTTAGGCAAAAAGGAAAAAAAAATTAAGATTTATAGTCCAGTGGCTAAATTGTATGCACTGGGATCCTATGTGGGTGCTGGTTTATATCCTGACTGTTCCACTTCCCTTCCAGCTCCCTGCTTCTGGCTTGGGAAAAACAGTCAAGGATGGCCCAAGGCCTTGGGACCCTGCAGCCACATGGGAGACATGGAAGAGGCTCCTGTGCTGTGTGCTTCTGGGTGCAGAACCCTGACCTCAGACCCCACAGCACCCCAGGCCCTGCACTGTCACCCACGCTCACTGAGGCAGTTGAGGGCTGGGCTACTTCTGTCCTCGCCTGTCTTCTGGCAGCAGGCCTGGGAGACCAGGGCAGCTTGTTCCTCCCCAGGTTCATGTTCACACGTGAACCGCACAGTGTGGTCCTCCTCCAGCGGATGTGCTGAGCACAGGGTTCATGTCTGTCAAGTTCCTTCCCTCCTGGTGTAGCTGTCATAGGTGTGATCCCACGCAGGTGACCTTTTCCTAACGAAACCACAGGATTCATCAGTTCTCAGGCTTGTCCATCACACCGCATTGCTGTTTGCATATGGGGGAGACTTGTAGTCTTCTGGAAAAAGAAAACAAAGAAGCAAAAACGGAGTGGGATACAGCTGCTGCTGCTTTCAGTGATCAAGTGGGGAAATGCCCAGGCCCTCCTTGACGGTGGTGCCGGAGGGCAGAGCTCAGGGTCAGGCCAAAGCAGGAGGCTCCGTGCAGGGAACCAGAACCCGGGGCTGCTCCCGCACAAGCACAGGCTGGACCTCGGCAGAGGTGGGCTGCAGTCCCAGCTGGAGAAGAATGTGCTCCATGTTGTTATTTCCTGGTTGGCAGAGGCACTACCACAGGAAGATCGGGAAGGAAGCAGAAGCGAGGATACCCAAGAAAAGCGAGCAGGTACAGGCCATTCTCAGGGTCTCAGGGCTGAGGTCTGGGGTTTCATGTGGGCTGTGTCCATCCCCAGTCACTTCTGCAAAGCTCCCCCACTGCCTGGCCCCCAGTTGACAGGCATGCCCTGAAGGTCAGTGACCTTGGCTGGAGGCCCTGCTGTCCCCTGTGGTGCCTGGTGTCCCCTGTGAAGCTCTCAGCTCCTCAGGCCAACCTCTCACAGCCTAGAACACAGCCTCAGGACCATCCTCATCCCATTGAGCCATCCCTTCTTCAGGGCATTCTCCCCATCAGCACCTCCCCAGATGCAGGTGCTTTGTAACAGGGCCCATCCCACCCCCTGACCCCAAGCTCAAGCCCTCTTTCTGTCATGACAGGCCGAGATTAATGTCTTTTCCTCCTGACTCACAGAGGAGAAGGGGACCAGCCCCCCAGACTACCGACTCTACCTTCGCATGTGGGCCAAGGAGAGAGGCTCAGAAGGAGACCATCAAGGATCTGCCCCAAATGAACCAGGTGGGCCAGGCTGGAGGCTGCAGCAGACACCTCTGCAGAACCCTGAGGGACACCGGGGCCCAGCATGCCATGTCAGCACCACGCCCCAGGGTCCACACAGGGTGGCACTCATTACTCACTAGCTCACTTGAGCGCCCAGGAGTCCCAGTGAGGATTCTGGAAAGTCAGGAGCTTGTTGCTCAGGGGCCATTTGCACAGGGACCGCTTGTTCAGGTGGAGGGACAGTGGTAGGTCTGAGCAGCCCTGGGGAAGGTTACCCCACAGCTGCTTCCTCACACTCCCTGCCCAGGCACCCTGTGCACACAGGCTTGTCTGCTCTCCACTTCCTGCTCTCTGGGGACAGCAGCTTCTTTGTCTTCCCAAGGGTCTCCCAGGCAGGAAGGGGCAACCCCTGGGTTCAGCTGCAGAAAGTAGCCAGAGGCAGTCCCTGAACTACAGCCTGCCCTTAGTGCTTGGGCTGGGCTGGCCCTGGCTATGCCCAGAGGGGCCCTGTGAGCCTAAGCCTTCTCCAGCCTGAGGAATGGGTGGTCTCACCCCTCTCTCAGGCCAGGATGTGGTTTAGAGACCCAAGACCACCCTCACCCCCTCAGCAGCACCCTCTGGGAGCTTCCCTGAAGGTCAGAGTTGAAGTCGCTTTCACCCAGGAGCTAGAAGGCCAAGGGTGAGGCCAGACCCCAGGGAGGAAGCCATGGTCAAGGCCGGGTTCACACAGCCATGCATCCCCAACAGCAGAACCACATGTCGGAGCAGAGAGCCCAGCTCAGAGCTGCTGTCCACTGCAGGGGGAGAGCCCGGCAGGGCAGAGTGACTGCTTAGGTCCCTCCCGACTCTGAGCCTCCACATTCCCGTGTGTGAAGTAAGACTAGAGCACTAGTCTGGCGCCGATAAACAGGACCACATCCTGGCACCAGTTCCAGTGGCCAGCAGCATGCATGGAATGAACACCAGGGCCATCTTACCATCTCCTTGTTCTGCCTTCCCCCTTGATAGGAGCAATTCATTGAGCTGTGCAAGACGCTATACAACATGTTCAGTGAGGACCCCCTGGAGCAGGACTTGTACCACGCCATTGCCACAGTGGCCAGCCTCCTCCGCATCAGTGAGGTGGGGAAGTTCTTCAGTCCCAGTGTCAAGAAGCCCACGGGTGGCACTCCCAGCAGGGACCAGTGCAGTTCCACCGAGGATGAGTCCCCACTGCCAGCAAGGGAACCCCCTCAGGGCCCAGTACAGGAACTCTAGCCGCCAGCCATGGGGCATCCCCAGTCACCAGCAAGGGAACCCCCTCAGAACCCAGTACAGGAGTGCCAGCCACGGGGGACCCTCAGTCACCTGCAAGGGAATCCCATCAGGACCCAGTACAGGAATGCCAGCTGACAGCCACGGGGGACCCCTGGACCAAAGCTGGTGGAGACACCCACCTTGGAAAAGTGCCACAGGAGAGACAGACGGTGGTAGAGGGGGGCAGTGGAGAGGGGCAGGGCTCACCCTCCCAGCTCCTGTCTGATGATGAAACCAAATACAACATATCCATGTCCTCCTACTCAGTGGTCAGCATGGGCTCCCTGCAGTGTGAGAACCCCACAGCCACTGCCCGCATTGGGAACACCATGGACGCAGACTGGTGCATCTCCTTCAAGCAGATCCTGGCCTCCATCCTGCCGGAGTCTGTGCTGGTCAACTTCTTTGAGAAAAGGGTGGACATTGGACTCAAGATGAAGGACCAGAAGAAAGTAGAGAGACAGTTGAGTGCCTCCAGTGAGCACGAGCCATCTGTTGCTCTGGGCTGAGCCCCTTGGCTGAGTGATTCTGGCCGAGGCCTCTGTCCCTCCCTCCTTCCCTTTGCAGTTTCTCATTAAAGACACAGCCCTCCTGCTCCCCCTTGGAAGCAGTGAGTTGTAAGTGAAAGGAAGGCTGATGCCAACACAGCTGCCTTAGAAAGAGTCTCTGGGCCTGCATCCCCTAGCACAGGCCAGTCCTGGGAACCAGGAATAAGTGGCAGCTCCTCCATTCCTCTCTGCCTGTGGCCTGGGAAGGCAGGAGAGGACAGCCCAAAGCCTTGAGACCCTGCACCCACGTGGGAGACCTGGAAGAAGCTCCTGCCTTCTGGCTTTGCATTGGCTCAGCTCTGGATATTGCAGCACTTGTTGAATAAACCAGTAGAAGAACACTTCTTAAAACAAAGTGGATGGGGCCAGTGCCACTGTGTAGTAGACTAAGCCTCCACCTAGAGTACTGTCATCCCATACAGGCACCAGTTCATGTCCTGCTTGCTCCACTTCCAATCCAGCTCTCTGCTTATAGGAGGCACAGCAGCCAACACATGAACTGACACCCATATGGGATCCTGGCACTTGCAAGGTGAGGATTTAGCCAGTTGAGCCATCACACTGAGCCCCCAGATGCTCCACTTCTGATTGAACTTCCTGCTAATGGCCTGAGAAAACAGTGAGGATGGCCCAAGGGCCCTGCACCCACATGAGAGAACTGGAGGGTGCTCCTGGCTCCAGCTTCAGAGTAGCTCAGCTCTGGCCATGATGACCACATGGTGAGTGAACCAGTGATGAGAAGGGGATTTTCTCTCTCTCTCTGTAACTCTTTCATGAAAGGGGAACCCTTTGTACTGAGCCCAGACACAAGGATGTTAGGGTCTTCCTTTTGTCTTTTCTTCTTTCTTCCTTTCTATTCTTTTAGAAAGATTTATTTATTTTTATTGCAAGGTAAGAGATACAGAGAGGAGGAGAGACAGAGAAGAAGACCTTCCATTACATGATTCAGTCCCTAAGTCACCACAATTCATGAAACTATGCCGGAACCAAGGGCAGGGGTGAGGAGCTTCTTCCAGGTCTCCCATGAGGGTGCAGGATCCTAAGGCTTTGGGTTGTCCTCGCCTGCTTTCCCTGGCCACAAGCACGAAGCTGGATGGGAAGCAGGGTTGCCAGGATTAGAACCAGTGCCATATGGGATCCTTACGCATTCAAGGCGAGGACTTTAGATGCTAGGCCAGCACGCCATGACTCCTCCCTTCCTTTCTTAAGATTTATTTATTTTCATTGAAAAGGCAGATTTATAGAGAAAAAGAGGCAAGAGGAAGAAGGTCTTCCATCTGCTGGTTCACTACCCACGTGGCTGCAAAGACCAGAGCTGAGCTGATCTGAAGCCAGGAACCAGTAGCTTCTTCTGGTCTCTCTCGCAGGTGCAGGGTCCCAAAAACTTGGGCCATCCTCCACTGCTTTTCCCTCACAAGCAGAGAGCCAGATAGGAAGTGGAGCAGCCGGAACATCAACTGGTGCCCATATGTGATGCTGCCACCACAAAGTGGAGGATTAGCCTGTGCAGACACAGTGCCAGCCTGTGTAAATAAATCTTTTTTAAAAATGAGGACAATGGGACAATGTGTGGTAAAGCAGATAAAGTTGCCACCTATAACACTGGCATCTCAAGTCGGCACTGGTTAGTGTCCTGGCTGCTCTATTTCCAATCCAGCTTTCTGCTAATGGCCTGGAAAAAGGGGTGGAAGATGGCCCAAGTGTTTGGGTCCCTGCCATGTAGATGGGGGACCTGGATGAAGCTCCTGGCTCTGGGTTGGCCCTGGGTTGGCCCAGAGCTGGCCACTGCAGCCATCCAGGGAGCAAACCAATGAATGAAGGAATCCTCTCTTTTCTCTTCCTCTCTTTGACTTCAAAAATAGATCTTTTAAAAAATAAGAACAGACTGTTTAATAAGTGGTGTTCAGGAAACTGCCTATTTAAGTAGAATGAAATCAAGTTAGATGTCTACCACCCATGGTTTTCTCCCCCTCCCCACCAAAATCTTATATTTTATTTACTTTCTGTTTTTGATGAGGATGATTAAATATTTCTGAACATAAGCCACCTGAATCCCAGCTGAAAGCTAGAGCCACTGCTGGCATTCCATGAAAGCCAAGACTGCAATGAGGATCCTGCTATTCAGTCACTACTTTTTTTTTTTTCAGGTATCAGCCAGCGAAATAGAAAAGAGAACATACTAAGAGGCATGAAAATAATGATTATGGGCCTGACGGCGTGGCCTAGCGGCTAAAGTCTTCGCCTTGAACGCCCCAGGATCCCATATGGGCGCCGGTTCTAATCCAGGCAACTCCACTTCCTATCCAGCTCCCTGCCTGTGGCCTGGGAAAGCAGTTGAGGACAGCCCAAGTCTTTGGGACCCTGCATCATGTGGGAGACCCAGAAGAAGTTCCTGGCTCCTGGCTTCGGATCAGCATAGCATCGGCCATTGCGCTCACTAGGGGAGTGAATCATCAGATGGCAGATCTTCCCCTCTGTCTCTCCTCTTCTCTGTATATCTGACTTTCCAATAAATAAATATTTTTTAAAAAAGAAAAAATGATGATTATGTGTACATTGTTGATCATTATTTATGGTTAATAGTATTTATACTTATCTTTGACCTGAAAATAGGAAAGCAAATGAGAAATGACTCAAAACAGTAAGGAAATCTAATACAGTGGGTGCAAACAAAACTAACACAATCTCCACAAGTTAATGTGGCTTTTATATAACAAACAACTAGTTACATGGAAGACCCAGAAGAGCTCGTGGCTTCAGCCGGCTTGCCTGGCACAGCTGCTGCAGCCAGATGGGAAAGGAAGCAGCAGATGGTAATCTGTGTCTCCCTCCTTCTGTCACTCTGCCTGGTAAAGCCACAAAACAGCAGCTTTGAGCTCTGTCTCACTCAGCCTTTCCAGAAGTAGTCATTTCTGGAAATCGGCAGATGTGGCTCTGGCACAATGGCTCAACTGGCTAATCCTTCACCTCCAACTGTAGCATCCAAGTGGGTTTGATGTCCCAGCTGATTCACTTGCCATCTAGCTTCAGGCTAATGGCTTGGGAATGCAGTAGAGGATGGCCCATAGCCTGGGGCCCCTGTACCCATGTGGGAGACCTGCAGGAGGCTCCTGGCTCTAGACTGGCTCAGTTCTAGCCATTGCAGCCATTTGGGGAGTAAGCAGTGGATGGAGGAGCTTTGTCTCTTCTCTCTAGAAATCTGATTTTCCAATAAAATAAATAAATCTTAAACAAAACCTGCAGACACACAACTACTGGAAAGGAACTCACTGGGGAGCAAGTGAGAGATGGTATGGCGTGTAAGATCTCTACAACTGTATGCTTCTGTCTGCCGTCTATTAAATGATGAAACAGTTTGATCCTTCCAGAGCTCAGCATTCTAGGCTCTGTAAGAGGGAAATGCTCCTGAATTCAGGGTAGGGGCTCTTGCAAAGAAATGGGAGAATGCCCGTGATGCAGATCTACGGCTGCGTTATCCTCCTCTGGGTTCGAATCCTTTTTCAGAGAGTTGAAAACAAGCATGAGAACTGCACTACATTATCCACGTGCAGCAACTTAAACATGCAAATAATTTCCATTCCATCAACCCTCAGAATACACTGAAATAGGGAAGTAATACATGGGCTCAGCTCAGGCCGTTGCTATTTGGGGAGTGCACCAGTGGACTTCTCTCTCTCTCCTCTAGGAAACTCTTGTCTTTCAAATAAAAATAAAGTGGCTTTTAAAAAGATGTATTTCTCTTGGGCCCAGTGTGATAGCATAGTGATTAAAGTCCTCACCTTGCACATACCGAGATCCCATGTGGTCGCTGGTTCTAATCCCAGCGGCCCTGCTTCCCATCCAGCTCCCTGCTTGTGGCCGCAGAGGGCAGAGGAGGATGGCCCAAGTCCTTGGGACCCTGCACCCAGGTAGGAGACGCACAATAGCTCCTGGCTCCTGGTTTTGCACTGGCTCAGCTCTGGCTGTTACGGTCGCTTGAGGAGTGAATCATCAGACAAAGGGTCTTCCTCCCTGTTGTTAGACAAAGGAAATGTGGCCTGGGGGAGAGTGGACTGCAATATTCCTGTGCTGGGAAACTTTGTAACAAGCAGGTGAGCCTCAGCCAATGACATCAGCCCAGATTCTCTTCCTGGCAGACAGCTAAAAGTTTCCAGGAAGACAGGCAACTTTGTAACAAGCAGGTGAAGCTGTTTTTGTTCCTCCCTTCTCTTTGCTTTCCACAAAGAGTGTGCTGAGGTCTTAGAGCTGGTGCTTCTTCCTTCTTAAAAAAACTGCCTCATTCAACTTGTCTACTGTTTTTTTTTTTTCCTTTTCACACCAACTTAATATTAAAAATGTGTTTTCATTTTGTGTAGAATTGATTTACATCTTAAAGAATCTAATACAGGTTAGTTGAAATGGCAATTCTTATATACACTGGCAAATCATATCATGTTTTAGGATATTGCCCTTAAGTCACTATCAAGCAAAGGTTTGTTTTGGTGCAGCAAGTGAAGCCACCATTGAGATGCCTGCATCCCATCTCGAGAGTCCCACTGGAGTCCCCGCTACTCCTCTTTTGATTCAGCTTCTTACCAAGGCATCCTGGGAGGCAATGGATGATGGTTCAGGTGCTTGGACACCTGCAACCCCTGTGGGAAATTCAGAGGGACTTCCAGGTTCCTGGCTTTGGCTACACCCACTCTGGGGAATTAATCAGCAAGCAGGAGATATCTTTCTGTCTCTCTCTGCCCTTCAAGTCAATGAAAATAATAAGCAATATAAAACAGTTCATTCTGAATTTGAATAAAGAAGAAAGTATAGGTTTAAAGACTCACACAAACACATAAATATCAGTGAAACGAGTTTTGTGTAATGACTTACTGCATCAGTTTTAAAAGGTTGTTCTTTTGGGGGCCCGGTGTGGCATTCTAACAGGTAAAGTCCTTGTCTTGCATGTGCCAGGATCACATACCGGTGACAATTCACATCCCAGCAGCCCCGCTTCCAATCCAGCTCCCTGCTTGCAGCCTGGGAAGGCAGTTGGATACTGCTCAAAGCCTTGGGACCCTGCGTCTGCCTGGGAGACCCAGAGGAGGCTCTTGGCTCCTGGCTTTGGATCTGCTCAGCTCTGGCTGTTGCAGCTGCTTGAGGAATGAATCAATGGATGGGAGATCTTTCTGCGTGTCTCTGTTCTTCTCTGTATTATCTGACTCCCCCCTCCCCCGAAAAAAAAAGTTGTTTTTTCAATTTTCTGTTTTATGCACCCTTGGTCGTTTCTGAGAAATCTATGGAAATTTTCAGTAAAGCAAACTCCCCATGGCAGGCTGCTTAGGCTAACACTGTGTCCTTGC